GTCATGGTTTGCTGGAATTGCGTTCTAATTTAAATCTCCGAACTTCTGAAGCTGAGATATTCTATGAATGTAGGCTTGTAATGCAGGCTACAATTTAAAAACGGGTGGGACTCATTGAAAAAATCGAGGGGGTTCGCTAGAAAACAGGGGGGTTCGCTAGAAAAGGGGGGTTCGCCCGAACCATAAAACCCCCCCCCCCCCTGGCTACGGGCCTGTTGTTGTTGTTGTAAAATTAATGTATTCAAACCAGTCATGCTTGGCTGGTTTTGATTTACGTTTTGGAACAGTATTCAGGGGCGGATACAGGATTTAGCAAAAAAAAGGGGGAAGGGGGCGCCAAAGTAAAGATGGACGACCAGCCAATTAGGTACGAAGTACCGAGGGCATGGGCGGATGCAGCCTGCCAGAAAAAAAGGGGGGTGTAATCTGCGAGCGAAGCGAGCAGCCTTAGGCTGGGGGCCAGGGGACGCAGGACCCCCGGCGGGGTCCAGTGGCAGCGCCCCTGCCCCCTTGAAGCCCAGCACATTTGAGGAATATGAGGTTGTATTGAGTCCTTGAAGCCCAGCACATTTAAGGAATATGAGGTTGTATTGAGTCGATTTTGACTATCTAGCATGGAAGTTTTCAGTGTACAAATAAAAAAATAAAAAAATAGGTGTATGTCTTTTAAAAGAAATTTTAATATACAGGGTACCTGCAATATGCAACTATGACATGTGTCATTAAATTAGTAATAATTCATCTACTCACAACAATCTTTGACAACAGTGGTGGCGCCAGGACCTGCCCGACGGAGGGGCTAAAGGCCCCGACGGGGAGGGGGCTAGTGGAGCGAATCGGGTCTCACTTGGCTGGGGGCGACGGATATTTTATTTTTAATTAGTCTCATTGAATTATTATTATTATTATTATTATTATTGTTGTTGTTATTGTTATTGTTGTTGTTGTGATGAAAAGTTAACAATATGGTGGCTAAACGAATATTAAAATTAAATAATTTTTTTTATTTGTTTGTTCCCCGACAAAACTTATCGTCTTCCCCGATGGGGGGGGGGGGGGGGGCTATGCTTCCCCGACGGGGGTCTTCCCCGACGGGGAGGGGGAGGGGCTATATCCCCCAGCCCCTCTGGCGCCACCACTGTTTGACAACATGCAAAGGCTCATAAATGTACACCATTTCAAAAGAGAAATTTCACTTGAAACATCATGAAGTTTCTCAGCAACATTGAACATAAAAATCACAAAATCAGCAAAAAGGAAAACTAATATCCAAAATCAGTTTAAAAAAAAGTCGTCAAACAACAAAATCCGCTACTGCATAATTAACATTGAGTAAATTACATGTGTTTTATTTCTCACCAAGTGGATTTATGAGTGGCACTCTCCTAGGGTGTTTTTGGTAGGAAAAGAAGACTAAAACATTGTGGGTGTAATTTTTTCTTTGCAAAAAAAATAGAGGGGGGGGGGGGGCGTACGCGCCACCTCCCCACCTAAATCCGCCACTGGAAATAGGCCTAGGCCCTAGGTTTAGGTAGGCCTTCTTTGTTTCATGTCAATTAGAGACAACAGGATTATACAATTTCATACAGTATATCTTTTAAATTACACAATATAATTAAACCAGGTACTGTACTTGAAAACAATAAGGAAGCAAAACTTACACGTCAAAAGTGTCAAATGTTGTCTACACAAAAACTGTACTTTCTACAAGTAAAAGTCTACTGCAGGGGTGTCGTCAATGAAGACGTGCACACATATCAGTGTACTGTGGTCAGTGCATGGGGTTGTCTGACAGCACATACCTGCTGACCTCGATGCTGGTGCATCTGCGTTTAAACTGTCTTCGTAGCTATGCATTGCGCGATATGACATATCAACCTTTCTATGGAATTGTGTATCCATTCAATTATCTAAAAAAAAAAAAAAAGTTTTTTTGTTTTTTTTGGTGATATAAGGTGGGTGGGGGCGCGTCGCAGGCTCTTCAAATCCGCCCATGGTATTTGGAGAGGG